CCCCCAATATTATGTAATTATTTTATTTTCTTATGTTCTTGTAGATCATTTTATTGTACAGATAAAAGGACATTTAATAAAGAGAAATATAGTAACATTTTAATTCGACAGAAGGTACACAAATTTTAGTTAATTTGTATCTATTCTCCGTACACTGTAGGTATTTTAATCAATAAATTTTTAACCAAATCAATGAACTGTTTCTGTGATGCATTATCAAACTTTCTGCATAGCATAAGTACATCAATATGTATCAGAAAATGTAATAAAATAGGGGTGATTTTGAAAAACATTTTTGGAATCTGAGGTGGATTGTTAAGGTTATATCTCTTATTTTATTACATGTACATATGCATTTGTATTTCATAGTTAATTTGAATTTTATCTTCTTTCTTAGTGATATTAGTTCCATTTATCGGACAAGATATTTTTATGAAACAATATACTATAACAGTATCAAATATTTGAGTCAGGTCTATACTTCTATGGTCATCCCACCTATACATGATAAAATGCATAAAGGTAAGCTCTGTTTAATCATGTTCCTGTTAATTCTTTGTCAATTACTTTATTACTGTTACTGTATGTTTTTGCTATAGGTAGACAATTATTGCTACTTAAATGGAAAAATCAAATTGCTCTTGTTTGGATCTTTCTCTTGCTTGGATTCCATTTGTTGATACACATGTATGTTATGTAGGGCATTATAACTATCTCCCTGTATTGTAGGTCAGCGAAGATTGCAGTGGATACATAGTCATGTAAACCACATGAAAGTCATGTGAAGCTGCATGATAAATGTTCCCTAGCATAGCTGCTTTTCAAGGAAATCAACAACACTGAAAATGATAAGTATCTATGTTCAAATATTATAAAAGTTATGGAGTAAATACATTACAGGATTCATATACACACTTCATCACTTGGTGTTTCATCGCTGCCTTTCTCACATTAAAACTTAACACTCTGGAAAATGGTGGCACAACAGTTGAAACAAACAACTATTAAAGCAAGGTAAAATATTTAGTATAAATCACTGTGTTTTATTACTGCATGTAGCAACATCTATTTGATTGAGAAAAGATACAAGTTAACTCTAGATGCACTAACTGTTCTACTGCTTCCTTACTACTATCTAGTACTATAAGAACAATGTATTCCTGACAGATCACACAGTAGCAAATCAAAATGCTGACAATAGTTGGTTATGTTCAATAGCCTGGACTTTGGAAGTTATCCACATAAACCGTATACTCTTGTCTACTTGTCGTAATTGTGTTATACTTATCCAGTTTATTATGATGGTAACAAGACCACCAAGGAATTAATCATACTAAATCATTGGGCTCAAGCTCTAGGCTATAAAGATAGTATCCAGAAAAACTGAAATTTATGTCAGGACTTCGCTAAGAATGATTCTGATAAAGCTGTTAATAATATTGTGAATTACAAATCTGTCAAAGTAATTAAGCTGAATATTGGACCAATGCTGATTCATATGTACAGCTTCGTTCTCTTTTAAAGTCTTTCAACTTATTGTCAGTGTGAGTTATGTCTAATTCCTTTGTACTGCCTGTTACTTTTCAATTCCCACACAGAGTCAGATGCTTCATTGAGGACATATATCAATGATGGACCTCATACTTCTTCCTACCATGGTATGTCCTGGAGTTCTGAAGGGTTCCTTTCAGTCACCTTCCCAGTCCTTGTGGAGTATCTTAATAGGATTCTCAGTGCATCTACAGGAGTCAATGCAGAAGTCAATTGGAGTCCTCCACACTGCAGACCCAGTTTTAGACTTCTTTCTCAATTTAAATAGTTGTTACTGTAATCTTTAACTCTGTTGTCACCCAATAAGTCAGTCAAATTATTATTACTTTAAAAATACCAAGATGAAGATGTGTAATTCTGTATATAATTGAATTTTATTTTAATTCATCATTTTCAGTGAAAAAAGTTATTGTTATACATGTAATACTGGCCTCGGGAGGGATTTTGCTATATTTTAGTGAAATAAGAATGTCAAATAAAAATATTAAAAAAATAACACTAACAAGAAATACAAAAAATTTTCAAAAAAAAAGATAGAGTAGGATTCTCTTTGTGCTAATGTGTCAAAAAAGTGATGGAAACAAGGACAAGTAGGATTCTGAACGACCGATTATTCCAAATGACTGACAACCCATACCAACGAAAATACGAAACGAAAATCCTACTCTCGTGACGCAAATTCTACTCTACATTGCAAG